TGCTGTGTTTTTTAGGGTGCCCCACTGGCACGGGGGGCCTAAACCTCTTCTGCTCCACTGTTGCCTCATGGCAAAGCCCCTCCCAGAGCTGGGTGACCTTGAGTGGCCAGAGCTGGGCACAGTGGCTCAGCCAAGGGGGGCACAAAGCTGTTCCTGACTCTGTTCCTGCCCACAGATCGTTCCATGAGCAGCTCACTCTCTGCCTCCCAGCTGCACACTGTCAGCATGAGGGACCCTCTGAACCGAGTGCTGGGTAAGGTGGGGATGGCTCTGTGGGGTCACATCCGACCACTGGGACACCCCCAAATGTCACCTCACTGTTGCTGTCTCTCTGTCCCCACAGCAAACCTCTTCCTGCTCATCTCTTCCATCCTGGGGGCCAAGACAGCTGGCACCCACACCCAGTTTGTGCAGTGGTTCATGGAGGAGTGTGTGGAGTGCCTGGAGCAGGGCAGCCGTGGCAGCATCCTCCAGTTCATGCCCTTCACCATGGTGGGTGCACTGACAGCCCTGGCCCTGCTTGGGGAGTGCCCCAGGATGTGGGACACACTCACCTGTGCTTCTCTCTGTCCCTGGGCAGGTTTCAGAGCTGGTGAAGGTGTCCACCATGTCCAGTCCCAAAATTGTCCTGGCCATCACTGACCTCAGCCTGCCCCTGGGCCGCCGCGTCGCCGCCAAGGCCATCGCTGCCCTGTGAGCTGGGCTGCTCCAACAGGGGGGATCCCTGCTCTGGGGGGATCCCTGAGGAGCCCAGGGGTTTCCCTGATGCTCTGAATGCCTGGGATCCCTTCAAGAGGAGCCCAGGGGTCTCCCTGGTGCTCTGCATGCCTGGGATCCCTTGAGAAGGAGCCCAGGGATCTCCCTGGTGCTCTGCATGCCTGGGATCCCTGAGGAGGAACTCAGGGATATCTCCCTGGTGCTCTGCATGCCTGGGGTCCATTGAGGAGGAGCCCAGGATCTCCCTGGTGTTCTGCATGCCTGGGATCCTGAGGAGCAGCCCTGGGATCTCCCTGGTGCTCTGCATGCCTGGGATCCCTTGAAGAGGAGCTCAGGGATCTCTCCCTGGTGCTCTGCATGCCTGGGATGGCCCCTGTCACTGCTTGCTGGAGGGCTGCTCCCTCAGCACACAGAGCCATCTCCTTGCTCTGCCTCATGGCACTTTTGAGACTGAGACACCCCCTAATTTTTTTATTTTTATTCTGTAAATCAATCTTTTGTACAATCAGCTTTTGCCTCATCTCATTTGGGCTTCTGGGCCTGCCCAAAACCCCTCGGTCCTGGGGGTGATGGGGAGCAGTGGCCAAGCCCTGTGCTGGGCAGGAGGGGAAATGTCCCTCACCCTGTCCTGGAGCTGACAGTGGCTGCTGGGCTGCTCTCACTGGGTGGGGCAGGGATGCTTCCCTGCTGTGCTGTCAGCCACAAGCGGGGTCTTGTTGGGAATTCTGCCACGTGAGCGTGAGGTCTGGTTGGAATTCCTCCCCGTGAGTGTGAGTTCTCATTGTGATTCCTCCCCATGAGTGTGAGTTTTTATTGGAATTCTCCCCGTGAGTGTGAGTTTTTGTTGGAATTCCTTTCCATGAGTGTTTTTGTTGGAATTCCTCCTCATGAGTATGAGTTCTATTGGAATTCCTCTCCATGAGTGTGAGTTTTTATTGGAATTCTCCCCATGAGTGAGTTTTTGTTAGAATTCGTCTCCATGAGTGTGAGTTCTCATTGGGATTCCTCTCCATGAGTATGAGTTTTTGTTGAAATTCCTTTCCATGAGTGTGAGTTCTCATTGGAATTCCTCCCCATGAATGTTGGAATTCCTCCCCATGAGTTTTTGTTGGAATTCCTCCCCATGAGTGTGAGTTCTCATTGGGATTCCTTTCCATGAGTGTGAGTTCTTATTGGAATTCCTTTCCATGAGTATGAGTTTTTGTTGAAATTCCTTTCCATGAGTATGAGTTCTCATTGGGATTCCTCCCCATGAGTTCTCATTGGAATTCCTCCCCATGAGTTCTCATTGGAATTCCTTTCCATGAGTGTGAGTTCTCACTGTGATTCCTCCCTGTGAGTTCAGTCCGTGCTGAGCACGGGCAGTGGGTGAGTAACCGTGGCCTCGGCAGCACCACCCCAGCCCCGTGCTGGGACCGGCTGCCCTGGCACTGTGCCCACACCCTGCCAGCTGCTCCAGCAGTGAATCCTCCAGGAGCTGTCATGAGCTCTTGTCCCCGAGGCAGTGGCAGTGCCAGGGCGGCTGCACCCCTGCCCCTTCACTGGTGTTGACTCACGAGAAAGGGGAAAGTGGGGCCAGCCCTTCCCTCAGGGCACTGTGACTCCAGTGGGGCTCCCAGCCCTGTTTTGGGGGGCTCTGAAGGGAGATGGGGCCCAGGGGGATCCTGCAGGGGTTGTGTCAGTGCTGGCCAGGGAAGAGGCAGTGGGGTGGTGACTCAGGGCCAGGCTGACCCCATCTGATCCTACATGAGCTCAGCTCCTGGCAGCCCCCAAGCTTTGCTGGAAGGAGAGACCCCGATGCCCTTGGGGTAGCTGTGGGTGTTGCTGCTCCTTGGCCTTCACACACGGAGCATCCTCCCCTTCCCACTGCCCCTGGTGCCCACCGGGAGCAGCTGCGGGGCCGGGTGGGGCTAATGGAGCACCGGGATGGGCTGGGATGAGCCTCAGGCTGTTGAGAGTCCCACCCTGAGCTGGCACCTGTGCTGGCCCAGGGGCGGCTCTTTACCGTTAGCCCGGAGCAAAGAGCGGGACCCGGCGTGGCCTCGCCAGCTCTGTCAATATTTGCCGAGGCAGCTCCGTGTGCCTGGCGCTGGCACCGGCGCTTCCCCTTCCAGGAAGGGGCTGGAGCAGGAGAAGCGGGATTTCTGTAAGCGGGGCAGGAGGGAGGGAACTGCCCACCCCAAGGGTGAAGGCTTCCCCCTGGCACTTCGGGATCCAGGGCTGGAAGTTGGGGGGCAGGAACTGGGAGCCCTGGCACCCCCCAGCACTGTGTGGCTGGGATGAGTGTGGTGAGGGATGTGTGTGGTGAGGGATGAGTGTGGTGAGGGATGAGTGTGGTGAGGGATGCTGGGGTGAGGGATGTGTGTGGTGAGGGATGAGTGTGGTGAGGGATGAGTGTGGTGAGGGATGCTGGGGTGAGGGATGAGTGTGGTGAGGGATGAGTGTGGTGAGGGATGCTGGGGTGAGGGGTGTGTGTGGTGAGGGATGTGTGTGGTGAGGGATGAGTGAGTGTGTGGGGAGGGATGCTGCTGGTCATGGGATGTCAGCGTGGGCCCAGTGGCAGGAAATGGGGGCTGGTGAAGCTGGGACAGCCCAGAGTGGGCAAACACCCATTGGGGAGAGGCTGGGGGTGCCCTTAGGGGCTTTCTAGGGCAAGGGAGATGCCCAGGGCTCTCCTGACATTGCTCATTCACATTGGGGGTGCCCCTTTTGTCTATCCACTCTTCCTCACTGCTGAAAGCCTCCTCCTACCACATGGCACATCCCTGGGCACTGGGAGGGCTCTGGGAGGGCTCCTGGAGTATCCCTGGGCTCTGGGAGGGCTCCTGGCACATCCCTGGGCAGATCCTCTGTGTCACAGCAGCAGCACAAGGGTGGTTGGGGACCCCCAGTGCCATGGCAGGAAATGGGGGCTGGTGAAGCTGGGACAGCCCAGAGTGTGCAAAGACCCATTGGGGAGAGGCTGGGGGTGCCCTTAGGGGCTTTCTAGGGCAAGGGAGATGCCCAGGGCTCTCCTGACATTGCTCATCCACATTGTCCACCCGCTCTTCCTCAGTGCTGAAAGCCTCCTCCCACCATGGCACATCCCTGGGCGCTGGGAGGGCTCCTGGCACATCCCTGGGCAGATTCTCTGTGTCACAGCAGCAGCACAAGGGCGGTTGGGGACCCCCAGTGCCACCAGCCCCGGGATGAGCCCACAAACCAGCTCTGGGCACGCTGCTGGTGCCCTGGGCAGGCGTGGGTGGCTTCCAGAGCTTTCTAGGAATCGGCTCTTGCCCAAGCAGCCCTGCGGGGTGTGGGAGGAAGTGGCCACCCCACAGCATCTCCGGACCCTCAGCAGGCCCAGGCTGTGGGGTGGGGGCACTGGGGGGGCTGCATTTCATCTTTCTGAGCTGACACCAGCAGCCACAGCCCGCCCCAAAGTCCCATTCCCTCATCCCTCCTGTCTCTGTCCCCGTGTCCCCACAGCCTGGCCACTCTGCCTCCCTCCCACGCAAGCAGGAGACAGAGGAACAGAGAGAGAGAGAGTGCAAAAATAGAGTTTATTTTCATTTTTATCACATAGAAAAAAAGCGGGTGTTTCTTGGGGCTCACCCAGCTGCAGCAATAAATACAGTACAAAACCCCCCACGCCCAGAGCTCCCACACAACCACGGGACTGGGGCTGCGTCAGGCTCAGGAGGATGGGAATGTGTCCAAGTGGCTCCTTCCGGCCAGAGATGGACACAAATAAGTTAAAACTGCAATAAGAACTCCGAGTTTAGCAGGGAAGGGGGACAGAGCAGAGATGCAGCTCCCCAAAGTGCTGGGGCTCCCCAGAAAAGCCTCATCCTGGTGAGGCTGCTGCATCTTCGCTCCCCTCCCTCCTTAATGGCTAATAAATATTAATTACTAGAAATAACACCCATCAGATGTGTCCCTGCAGGCTGCAGCCCAGACAGGGAGATGCTGCTCTGGAGCATCCTCATCCTGGGATGTTTTCCCCTGGGATGATGCAGCAGCCCCAGCAGTGCGAGCCATGGGGAAACTGAGGCACGGGCAGTGCCAGCAGCAGCTGTGGGGGCTCAGCCCGGCTCCAGAACCTCGTAGCAGAGATACGCTTGTGTTTAAATATTAAACAAGGGTGATGCTGCACAGGGACCTGTGCACGGATCCACCGCGGGATCCCCTGGCAGGGGGGAGCATCCCCACACAGATAAATATTAAATAGCCATAAATATTAAATAAGCAGGAAATGGGGTGCTCCCGGGATGTCCCTCAGGTGGGACATCCACAGGCAAGGGTCAGAGGCTGGCGAGGTGCCGCAGTGCCCGGTACGCCGTCTCCAGGAACCGCTGGAAGTTGGCCAGGATGAAGAAGCCGCCGACTTGGTGGTGGAATTGGGAGGAGAAGGTGGGCACGGGGTCCTGGTTCTCTGTGGGGTACGTCACCGTGGCCAGGCCCAGGTCCTCCATCTGCAGCCAGGCAGAGGCAGAGGCGTCAGCTCCAGGCTTGGAGATGCCCCCCTGCCCCCGTGTGGCCCTTCATGGGCATGCAAATCCCACTGTGCCCACCCAACTCTTGGGATACAGCTCCCACCCTGCCCACCAAATCCTGTGAATACAACCCCTGCCATGCCCACTCATCCTTGTGAATGCAGCCCCTGCCATGCCCACCCATCTCTTGGGATACAGCCCCTGCCATGCCCACCCATCCTTGTGAATACAACCCCTGCCATGTGAATACAGCCCCCACCATTCCCACCCTTCCTTTGGGATGCAGCCCCCATCGTGCCCACCCCTCCTTTGGCATGCAGCCCCTGCTTTACCCACCTGTCCCCACAAAGTCCCCCCTTTGCCCCCTCACCTGCTGCTGGATGTTGGAGGACAGGTTGGCCATGTCCAGCTGCAGGGTGTCCACCAGCCCAGCGTGCCCGGGCAGCAGGGCACGGATGGTGGCCAGAGAGCCGTGGTAGACGCGGAGGCCGGCGCGGATCTGGCTGAAGCAGGTCTCCTGTGGTGGGCATGGCGTGGTCAGTGGGGCTGGGCATGGCCTGGCCACCAAGACACGGAGGCTCTGGGGTGGCCTGAGCCGCGAGCAGCTCGTGGCAGGGGTGGGCTGCCCGCACTCACTGCCTGGAAGGTGCGTTTGTGACACTGCTCCAGCGGCGCCTGCGCGATGTCCAGGTCCTGCCGCACCAGCAGCAGCTCGTCCTCCTTGCACAGCTGGAGGGTGTCACACTGTGGACAAAGGGGACAAGCTGAGGATACCAGAGGACCCCAACACACCCAGCACCCCCAACATCCCATCCCAAACCTGTGGGACCCTGGAGTGGAGTCGGTGCCGTGGGGACGGAGGTGTGGCTGTTGTGTACCCAGGAGGGTCACCACACGTCCCCCGTGGGTGCCCCAGCACCCTGGGGCTGAGCCTTGGGCAGTGCAGGGGACACTGCTGGCTCCTGGCCCTGCGGCGCTGATAAGGGCAGGGAGGGGGTCACCTTATCTGTGACCTCGCAGTGGCTGCCATCCCCCCTCGGCAGCGTGTGGGACTCACCACCAGGCGCTGCAGCGCAGCCACGTCCCCGCGGATCTTGCGGGTGAACTCGAGGTTCCTCTGCAGGAAGAGCTGGAAGTCCTGGTCCCCTGAGAGCTCGGTCAGCGGTGCCCCGTGCAGCGCCCACCACGGTGCCCACAGCAGCACAGCCAGCAGCAGTGCCAGCCCACCTGTGGGGACAGCAGGTCAGCGCCCACCCCACGGAGCCCCGACCCCACAGCTGGGATGGGCTCAGCAAGCAGGACCACTCTGGGGATGGTGGCAGCAGCAGCGTGGCCTGGGGACAGGGCAGAGACCCCAAAAGGGGAGAGACACCAGTGCTCCCAGTGCCAAGGACAGCAGCAGGGGACTCTGGATGTGTGGGTGCAGCAGGTGCCACAGGTAGGGTGGGTTTAGGGTTGCTCTGGGGGCAGTGTGGGCAGTGGTCCCATGGGCAAAGTGGGTTTAGGAGTGGTTTGGGGGCAATGGGAGCAGTGGGTGCTGTGGGCAAAGTGGGTTTTAGGGGTGGTTTGGGAGCAATGGGAGCAGTGGGTGCTGTGGTTGTGGGGGCAGTGGGTGCTGTGGGCACAGTGGGTTTTAGGGGTGGTTTGGGTGTAACAGGAGCAGCAGGGGAAGCGGGTGCAATGGGAGCAGTGGGAGATGGGGGTGCACCGTGGCTACTCACGGGTGAGGAAGCACATGGTGGGTGCCCGGCTCGGTGTCTCCTCCTCTGTGCAGCGCGGCCCTGCCCAGCCCGGCCCGGCTCCTCTCGCTCCTGCCTGGCTGTTCATTGATCGGGTGGCATTTATAGCGCACATGGGTCTCGGGGATTCTCACCGATGAGGCAACAGCGCGATTGCTTCACTGCCTTAATCACAGCATGCAAATCTCCCGGACCGGGTGCTCGGCCGCGGCCTCAGCCCGGGCTTTCCGGGGCCGGTGGGCAGCGGTGCCCCTCGGTGTGGCTGCAGCCCCCGGTGCTGCCCGGGCAGCGGGGCGGGTGCCGGGACGGGCAGGAGGTGCCTCGGTGACTCATTAACCTGCTCGCCGGGCTCCCACCGCGCTGGCCAGGTGTGCCAGAGCCCAGCACAGCAGGGTCGTGTGCGGGGTCACTCACAGGGTCACTCGCAGGCGGCCGGCCAAGGGGATGGTGGCTTCTCGCAGCCGCTGTCACTCTGGGGTTGTCCCCATCCCCGGCCAGGCGGGCAGCACCCCCTGGCAGCCCCCCCACACACCAGGGTGGGCGCTGGCGGTGTGACCTTCACGGTGGTGGCACCAACTGCAGTGAGACCCGGTCCAGGCAGGTGCCCAAGGCTGTGGCTCCCCGGGGCAGCACCACGGGGTCAGATCCTGCCCTGCTGGGCGCTGTGGGGCCGGGTTGTGCCCAGTGCAGCGCCAAGCACCGGCCCCATCGTGCTGACCCCACCCGTGAGGGGCCAAACCCCCCTCTGACCCTGCGGGGAAGAGGCTTCCAGGGCAGCCCTTGGCACGGGCTGGCTGCTCCCGGCCCCGTTGCGTGTACGAGGGAATTTTGGCTCGTGCCGGTTCCCGCAAGTCCTTCCAGGATCTGCTGGCCGGGTGCCAGCTGGCCGGCTCGGGCTCGGCACGGGCTTCCCGGGGCACGGGAGGCGCCGGCTCCCCTCACAGCCCCGGCCGGGGTGAGCCCAGGGCAGGACTGGGCTGGGGAGGCTCATCCTGCACCCCTGACCCGCGGCTGGGCCCCATCGCTGCCCTCCTGGGGGCCGTGGGGACAGGGATGGGGATGGGGACAGGGATGGGAACAGGGAACCTGGTTTCTGCAAGTTGCAGATATTGGTGGGCACTGGGATGGGCCACGCACCCATTGGGGTAATTTGTGGGGTACAGTTAGTGGGGTGCAGCCACAGCACCACTCCCAGAAGCTGAAAGTCCTGGAAGTTTCTGCCTCCAGCTGGGAAATAAACCCCCATCAGTGCAGCCAATCCATGGGTACCAAGCAGAGCCTTCCTGGCACAGCCAGGTGTGAACTCTAAAAATTACTGCTGACCTCCCTTGGAACCTGGCAGCACTAAACGTTCTGCCCTCTGGGTGTGTGAGAGGACCTTGCCAGCAGTCTGTTAATGGGATTTTTGGGAGAAACAGCCCCCCCAGCTCTGCCTGTCCCCACCCTGGTGGCCATTGAGGGGCTCAGGGTGGTCCCCTCAGTCTGAGCACCCACAGGACCAGCCCAGAGGGTGAGGATTTGCCCTCTCAGCAGGATGGTGCTTTCAGGAATTGTGCTGGCAGCGTGGGGGGGGGTTGAATCAGTGCCCAAAGGCCCTGTCAGCTTTCCAGGGAAGGAAGTGGTTTCAGATATGAAACTGGGGGTGTTAGGGGGAGGAGATGGCCCAGCAAACCCCCACCATGGGGCTGGAGCTGCTCAGTCCAGGGACTGTTCCAAGAACCCACCCCACTCTTGTATCAGCCTCGTGGCCACCCTTCCTCTTCCTGGGGCCCAACCTGGGCACCCTCAGCCCCTTCCTGGCATCTGCCAGCTGCCCAGTGCTCCTGGGATGTCCCTGTGTCCCCAGTCCCAGCCCCCCTGGCTGGGCTCTTGCCTTCTCTGGTGTCCCCCAGAGATCCCCAGAGCGGGAATGGGCTGGGACAGCCCCGCTCTTGACCTGCAGCCCTGGCTGCCATCCCGGCATGGGCGGGGCTGGGAGATTCCCAGATTTTCTCAGAGGACTCATCCCAGATGCTGATGGGAGCCACCTGGAGTGGCTGCATGTCTCCTGTCCCCATCACCCCCAGAGTTGTTGTGGGGGGCTCTGTGTCTTTCTTGAAGGAATCCTCCTGGGATACCATCCTGGAGCTGCTGGGGCCATTCCCAGCACCACTGAGACAAAGCTCCAGTCCCCCAGGATGGCCTGACCAGCTCCAGTCCCATCTCTGATGCCTCACCCGAGGGAGAGAGAGCAGAGACCCCAAACCAGCCCCATGCCCCTTCCTCATCCCAACAAACCCCCAGCAGGAGCCACCAGGGCTGGTGTTTTTCCATCTTTTATTTTAAAAGTCATAATTGAAGTTTAACAAAGTTTGACCCCGTTGTGGGAGCTGGGAGGGCACCAGTGGAGACCCCACTCCTGCTCCCTCCAGCCCCGCTCCCCTCGCTGCCCCCCGGCATCGGCTCCGATGTCACCACAGGGATCCTTTGAAGGATGTTTTATTGGGGAGGGGGTCCCACCACAAGTGCAGGTGGTCAGGGGGTGTGGGCCCAGGGAACCCCCCCTGTGTCCCCTCCCACAGTACAGACATGCAGGGATTTATAAAAGGGGGTCTGGGGGGGACGGAGGGCCCTGCTCAGCCACCATCTGTCCAAGGGACAAATAAAAAAGCACAGCCAGGGCCCAGGGTCACGGGAAACCATCGTCATCGTCCTCTGCCATCTCCTTGGCAAACTCCAGGTCCTGCTGCTCACGCTCCCGGCGCTCCTGGAAAGCAAAGGCGGAGGTTGGTGGCAGCTGGGGACAGGAGCCACATCCTTCCCGTGGCCGTGGTGGCCGCAGAGATCTCACCTCTGCAGATTCCAAGTCCTTGTTGTACGATTTGGGTGGGAACCTCATGGCCTGGAGAAAAAGAAGAGGAGGAGCTCAGAGCTGAGCCAGCCCTGAGCCACGTCCTGCTGTCCCCACCAGGGACAGGCTGTGCTCACCTTCACGGACATGTTGTGGATGTCGAGGCAGAAGGAGATGCGCTGGTGGAAGGCCAGCTGGGGCTCCCGTGTGGAGTAGATGTCGATCATCTCCTTGGACTGCACGTAGCCCTTCTCGTGGTTGATGCTGGCCTCGATCACGCCGTCCCGGATGGCCTGCGAGCCCGGGCACGGGGCAGGGCACGGGGTGTCCCCAGGGGCTCACACAGAGTCCCCTGAGCGTCCCCCAGCTCTCCCTGGAGGAGCCTCCACCCAAACCCAGCGGTGCTGCAGGGAGGGGTGTGGGGGAACGGGGCAGGGTGGGGGCTGTGGGCACATCCCACAGGGATGGGATTCCCTGTGCTGGTACCTTGGCAACGATGAACTCGGCGTCCTCGGGGCTGTCCAGCTGCAGCTTCTGGGCGATGTCAGCCAGGGAGATGCGCGAGTAGGAGAGGCTGATCATGCGGACACCTGCAGGACAAGGGAGGGGATGCAGCCCCCCAGGCCTGCCCAGCCTGCTGGGGGTCCCCAAACACCCTCCCCTCCTACCTGTCTTGATGACGTTGTGCCTCAGCCGAATGATCAGGGTGTAGGTGCCATCAGCCTGGAACTTGTCCCCAAACTGGTCAAGGACTTGGTTGAACTTGGCCAGGTTCCCTGTCCTGACGGCTGGAGGGAAGAAGGTGGGAATGGGGGAAGGAGAAAGGGAATTCCCACTGGGTCCCCTCCCACTGAGGATATTCCATGATCCCCTGACCCTGCAGGAAGGACATGCAGGCAGGGTGGGCAGCCATACCCTGGGTCAGCAGGAAGTAGGGCATGAGCGAGCGCTTGAGCGAGGGCTGCCGGAACTGGAGCCTGTCCGGGATCTCCCCGAGGAGCAGCTCCACCACGATGAGCAGCTTGTGCACCTGGGGCACAGCAAGACTCTGAGTGAGTCCCCACGGGGCCTGAAACTGTCCCTGTGCACTCCAAGAGGTCTTGCACCCATCCCCGTGGGGCACAAGACTCCAGGAGATTCCAAACCTGTTCCTGTCCCAAATCTGGACTGGAAGGTCCCAGATTTGTCCCTGGGAAGTTCCAAACCAGGGAGATCCTGCACCTGTCATCCCTGCAGGGCCCAACACCCTGGGAAATCCCAAATCTGTCCCCATGGGGCCTGACCGTGGGAGATCCCACAACTGTCCCTGCAGAGCCCAACCCTGGGGGCTCCCAGATCTCATCCTGAAAGGCGCCAAGCCTGGGAGGTCCCAGAACCATCCCCGTGGAGCCCAACCCTGGGGAGCCCTGGACCTGATCCTAGGAAGTGCCAAATCCCAAGGGATCTGACATCCAAGGAGGTCCCAAACCTGGGAGATCCCAAACTAAACTCCATGGAGCCTGACATCCGAGAAGGTCCCACATCCAACCCCTGTGAGATCCCAACCCTGGGAGCTCCCAACCCGAATTCCATGGGGTCTGACATCCCAGAAGGTCCCAAACCTGGGAGTTCTCAAACCTGGGAGGTCCCAACCCAAATTCCACAGTGCCTGACATCCCAGAAGGTCCCAAACCTGGGAGCTCCCAAACCTGGTAGTTCCCAACCCAAATTCCATGGCCCTTGACAGCCTAGAAGGTCCCAAACCTTGGAGTTCACAACCATCTGTGAACACCCAAACCTTGGAGTTCCCAAACTAAATTCCACGGAGTCTGACATCCCAGAAGGTCCCAAACCTGGGAGCTCCCAAACCAAATTCCATGGAGTCTGACATCCCAGAAGGTCCCAAACCCGGGAGATCCCAAACCAAATTCCACAGTGCCTGACATCCCAGAAGGTCCCAAACCTGGTAGCTCCCAACCCAAATTCCATGGGGTCTGACATCCCAGGAGGTCCCAAACCTGGTAGTTCCCAAACCAAATTCCATGCGGTCTGACAGCCCAGAAGGTCCCACATCCAAGCCCTGTGAGATCCCAAACCTGTGAGCTCCCAAACCAAATTCCATGGAGTCTGACATCCCAGAAGGTCCCAAACCTGGGAGCTCCCAAACCTGTGAGCTCCAAAACAAAATT